CAAAATGTTTGCTGTGTTCACATAGCTCGACGTCCTCTCCTGGTTTCTGTCGGATGAAAAGACAGTTCATTTTTCGTACTCCTTCTATTAAAGTAAATATCATCCACTTGGTAAGTGTAATCGAATCAGAAATAAACGAGGTCAGGAAAATAGGATTAGAATTTTAGGAGTAGTGAGATTTCTTCAAATCACTCGAAACCTTGCAAATTTATTACAAAATCATACATCAAGTGTAGCGTGCATACCAAAAGCCATAAGCTGATGCTTTTTCCCCCAATATGTTAAAAGTATTGTCGAATAAAAATGTAGCATACGTTTAGGCTGCTTACCAAAGTGTACATGCCGACATACATATATAGTATTTACATGTATTTGAACCAAACAAAGAAAACTCTTTGCCGGTATGAAATTTAAACTAAGAGAGAATGTAAGGAAATATAAAAGTAGCCACACAAAAAATTGCAAGCAGCAAAAGCATTGTAAAACGAAAACATCATTAGGCGGAGAGCCAATAATAACAATGCAACCTCGCGGTGCTCTTCCAGTGCCGCGCAAAGCAAAGTGGTTTTGCAAGAAACGCCTGTGGTGTATGCCCATTGTTGTAGTTAATGCGCTTCAGTGGGCAGAGAGGGAGGCATAGTTACTCCCCCAAATAGTGTGGCACTCGCAATAAAAGAAAACAAACAACAACAATTCAGGCAGACAAATTGATATGCAACCCGAAGCATATCAAAATGGCATTGTGAGTGGTATCTGCTGAAATTTACCGGAGTAGCATTTTCTTTTACTTATTTGCTTGTGCTTATACATATGTATGTAGTTAACACATTCGCACGTTCCTAACTACTAAACCGCAAGTGAATGAAGAAATACATACATAATTGCAAGCCAAAGAAGAAATGCAATAAATATTCAATAAACAAATTGGATAATCGCGAATTTTGACATAAAGTAATACATACGTACAGATGCTTGCACATAAATATTTTTATACCACAAGCGTAAAGAAGTTGGAGTGTACTATTGTAGCAAAATTTCAATAACAAAAAATAATAAATAAATAAATAATGAGTGTTTTGTAGTAAAATGTGAAGTGGACGATACCTTGTAATATTATGGTAGATAAGAATATATAAGCTATTCAAACGTACATACATACAAACATATGCATACATATATATGTGGATGTATGTATTGTTTTGTGTATGCCGATATACATTTTTCAGCGCTTAATCGTAAAAAGTTCAAAGGTCAATTTGGCAATAAAAAGTGCATGCACAACAATCATTACGCAGCTACTATCTCTTACTTCCAAAAATGTGTTTCATAAATTGAACGAAAATACTTTTAATTTACTAAAACCATTCACATGTGTGCATATACAGAGACCAACAGATAACAGATTATCCCCGACAAAGCGTCAGCAGGGCAAGTTCTCATTTGTTTTCATTGATAAGACATCCAAATTCATAAAAACAAAGATTTCACTTGCTACAAAGTCAATAAACATCAATCGCAAAAACAGTTGTATGGAGAGCCTTGGTTAATTAGCATCGACAAAGAGTAGCAAGTTACCATACAAGCACAGTATATATGTGCATAAATGTAAAGACAAGATTTGCTGGCGTACGTGATTCCAATACATAGCATAAAAAAAAAGTAAGCAATAATTTCAAAATCGCCAACATAAACAGAGCATTCATCCACGATGACAAGTGCTTTGGGTCGTTTGCGTTTAATCACCTTTGATGTCACCAATACATTACTCCAGTTTCGTACAAGTCCTGGCAAGCAATATGGAGAAATTGGTGCACTCTTCGGTGTACTTTGTGACAATGATGAACTTGCAAGAAATTTTAAGACAAATTGGTAAGTGCGTTCGTTGGAAAAACAAAAACTGGGTTGATTCTTATAGATTTATTTTTTTTTTTTCAATTTATGTGTAGGTATCTCATGAATAGAAAATATCCAAACTTTGGACGAAATTCAAGTATTGGCTGGCAGCAGTGGTGGCATCAACTTATTGGTGGTAAGTTGGTACGAATAACCAAAATACTTGCATTTCATCCTTATACCCAATGGACTCATAATTTTTATACTTTTACAGCCACTTTTGCTGACAGCGGTTCCTTGATCCCCGAGGAGAAATTAGGCAATTTAGCCAATCATCTGCTGGAGCTTTATAAGACTAGTCTTTGTTGGCAAAATTGCAACGGCAGCATCGACTTACTCAACTATTTGCGCCTGCAACAACAACTCGCACCCACCAACCAAAGCGATAATGAAGTTGGAAATAATCAGAGCAATAATAAATCGCCAATTTCTCTTGGGGTCATTGCAAATTTTGATCCGCGCTTGGACATTTTATTGCGTAATCTCAAAATTCAACATTATTTTGACTTTGCAATCAATTCTTATGATAGTAACGTTGAGAAACCAAACCCAGAAATATTTCATTTTGCTATGCGCCTGTCTGGGTTGAAAGATTTAAAACCTGAAGAATGCTTACATATCGGTGATGGACCCACTACAGATTACTTAGCAGCGAAAAATGTTGGCTGGAATTCCGCACTGATACATGAGAAGAATGCTAGCTTACTAATCGGAAAATATGGCGATCAAGTTGAGGAGCATTTCGTTTTCCCCAGTTTATATGATTTTCATAAAAAGTTTTCAAATAATTCAATAAAGTGGTGAAACATTTTAATTTTAGCTAATTACTACTACTATTACTGCTACATAGACAATAAAAATAAAATTAAACGAACTCATCTGTGTGGACGGCATCTCAATGTTTGTGTGGTTGCATGTCTCCTAGTTGTATTGAATTTTTTTCAAATAGTTCCACAAGCGGGTCTTGTGGTTTGTTACTTTCCTTATCATATTCGATTCCAATAGCCCATAGTGACTCTAAATCGTATTGTTCTCGCGCTTCTGGTGAGAATACATGTAAGGCTATGTTACCTTAAAAAAAAATGAATTTGTCTAATTGATTCGAATTTCTACATTATTGTTTTAATTTATGTCTACCTAAATCCAATGCCATCCATTGACGACTCTTCTCGCCTTCAATCTTTGGCGGCACCTCACCCTTCGTGCGCTTAACTTTATACATGCGCCTCACAAATTCCGCAATCGCCAGCATATGTCTGTAGCTTCGTCCACTACAAACCACCATATAATCGACATAATTCAGATCTTTGGGTACAGAGCATACAAAAATATCTTCGGCGCTCTCTTTGCGTAATACGTCTACAAGATCCTCTACATCAAATACACCATGCTCGCCATCTAGAAATAACTGATGGAAAATATTGGAATATAGTACATAAACATTACATTACGATTCAAGTTTAGGCCCAAGAACTCGTCTTTCATCGTCTGCTTTGGCTCTTCTTCGGCCTCGTAACGTTGGCGCTCCTCTTCGACATCAAATATCTCGGTGGCATCTTCGTCGTGAAATATTTGATATTTGTTTCTTATTGTTCCTGATATTGTATTGTGAACCTAAAAGTTTAATTAATTAATTGCTAATTTTAAATGAGCTACCGGGAAATGTCTCACCTTCGATGCAGTGGCCGCTTCTGTTAAGGGCTGGGATTTTGTATCCGTATTGCTGATTTCATCTTTTTGTGGATCCGTTTGTGAAAATTCATGATGGAATACACGCAGCAATGGAATGTTGATTCTATTAGCACTAATGAGGCGAAATATCTTAGAATTTAACATAATTTACGGTTTTCTATGATTTTTATAACGAATTCCTTGAATTTTTTTCCTTGTTTACAAAACAGCTGTTGGCGCGAACATCTGATGTTATATACGTGGCGACATCTGTTGGAAAGTGATATCGAAAAGAAAGGTACAGGAACGAGAAGACGTTTCCTAAATCAAGCATTTGGAATTTATCATCGACATTAATTGTTAAAATTTTGAATATATTTTGTATACTTCAAAAACTAAACATTTTAATATTTATGTATGCCGCGACTAAAAATAAAAACAAAAACTTCATTCGATAAGTTGTCATTTCAGGCAGCCTGTCCGAAACTTTACTAGCAGATGGCGCTGTTGCTTTTCGGGCGCGAAAATGGAGTCCAACAAGTAGCTACAAATTTAAAATTAAAAGTATACAATTAAAGAGTGTAAAAGAAAGTGTGTAAATTCGTATTTTTGTAAGTGCTCAACAAATTATGTGTTTAAAAGTATTTCAGTGAAACGGTGTTTGTGAAAACTAATTTATGAGCTGAAGAGATTATCCAACTTTGGATGAACAGGAAATCGGAAATGCAACTTGCAGCTGCGTCTTGGAATAGTTAAAAATTTAAATAAGGTTGTAGAACGCTTAAATATGAGATTTAATTATAAAATTATATGTAAGTACAAACCTTTTATATCAAAGTTACTGAGTTTAAATGTTGTTGCAGCCTAGATCAGTCTGTCTCTCAGTCGTTTTTGTAATATAAAAATACGCCAAAGGATTCTGAGAAATCGAGCCGAGGTGACTGTCTGTTGTTGTTGCAACAGCACACACATTCTCCAAATAGTTTTTGAGATGTGTAGCGGGAGTGACAGTGAACGGGGTGACAGTGAGGGTGACTGCCTCATGACCTGTTATTTGTTGTTGTTGTAACGGCACTACTAAGCCCTGCCTGTATCAGTTAGCCTGTCTTCTGTTAAGCCCAATTAACGGGGTGACAGTGAGGGTTGTCTGTCTCATAACCTGTTGTTTGTTGTTGTTGTAACGGCACTACTGAGCCCTGCCTGAATCAGTTAGCCTGTCAACTGTTAAGCTAGTGGTCTGAAACTATTGGTGGCACTATCGATGGTTTTTTTTACATTATTGTTGTTGTAGCGGCTCTCTCTGGTGGTTGAGGGGGTCTCAATTGTCTCATACGCTGGTGATTGCTCGATAATGGGGTCTGGGAATGGAGTTGATGACTTGTGCTCGAAAGTAAACGGACATGTTTTTGTCAATTTGCATGTGTATTTGACACAAAGTGGCAGCACCATTTAACTAAAGAAAGATCGGCAGCGTCCAGTGAAAAAAGGATAGATTCGTGAAAAAAACTAAATATTAATATCTGATATTGAATGATAAAATATCTGGCATTGAATAAAATAAATAGCTAAAAAAAAATTCAGTTTTTATTTATTTCAATTAGCAACGAACCCTTCTGATTCGTATGAAGTTTCCCTTTGCTCTAAACACGTAAAATATTTTATTAAAAATTTCGCAAAATTTTTGGAAGAAAATGGCTATGAGAAGTTTCTTCCTCTCCTGTAAAACTTAGCATCTTTTCACTCTAAGCAAGCTATTTACGGATTTTGAAAGAAATATTTTTTACAAATTTGCCAAGCGCAATATTAAGCCAAATTGTAGGTTTAGAAGACTATCGAAAACTATCGATAGTTATCGATGGTTTCTAAAGAACTGTCGCCTACTATCGGTAGTGTCGACTATGGAAATTTTCAGACCAATATGTAAAGCCCAACTAACGGTAGCCCAAGACTCGTGCTGTTTCGACGGGGTCCGCCATATGGAAAATAGTATTAGCAGGGCGGGTGGCGACAGGTGATGGTTGTTGGCGGTGAATGTCGTTGATGGCTTGCCTGGGTGGTAGTTGCGGTTGTTACTGTTGTAACAGCTTTGAAATTCCCAGTCCAGATATAAATCTGGATAGTTCCGATTACGTAGACCCGACTGCCTTGGAAACGAAAAGTCGTTTTGAGACTTAAGTTTATATTCTTTGTTACATATTGTTTAAAGACCCGATTACAGCATTTTCAAAGTATTTTCTGAAGAAAAAAAACCTTTATACCGGAAATGCCAGCAACTTAAATCAGCAAATTTTTCACATTGTTTACCATTCTTAATATTTATTCGCAAAATATTCTCTTATAAATAAACAACTTTTCAAAAATACAATGCATACAGTAAAATCTCTTACATTCATGTGAATTTTGTATAGTATTTCACTTCATAACTCACAAAATTTTGTCTAAAATATTGCAAAAATATCCTTTTTTAGTATTGCAGTGCATTGGCATATAGTATACAATTTTGCATGCGAACTCACAAACAAATCTTAGTATACTGCTCACATTCAAATAATATATAAAATAATTTTTTTTTGAGCAAAATTTTATTGCACTCGATGATGAAAAACTACAGTTTTTAAGTGGTATTTTCATCGCCTTACAGCATAGGGGTATAGATTTTTAAATAAAGATTTTTCTACTAGTCTCTTATTTCTATTTAAAATAATGGGATTTCCTTCAAAAATTATATCATCTACAACTAATCGTGCTTAAAACGATTTTCTTCTGTTTCTCTAATTATAGTCCATATTTATTTAGTTTGCAGGCAGGAAAATGTACACAAATTATGATGCATTCATTGATGCCTAGCTTTCCCATATTTCATCACGTTGCTTAGCTGCCAGCATCTTACGTTCTGGAAATGCAGAAAAAGATAGCAATTACATATGTGCTAAACATA